CACCCCATCCCTACCTGACAGGGATGCAAATTCAACACGATGGTTCAACTTCCTGTTTTAAAAAAGCAAAATGCAGTTTGATATTCGCATATGGTTGATTATCAAACATTAAATCATGTTTTGAAATATTTGGGGGGGAGGGGAAAGCAATCTGAACAAATTGACCCCATGTAAAAAAAAGTTTTCACTCCTCTGAACCTATTAACTAATTGTCAACTCATACATGCAGAATGTTTCAATTCAGCAACATAGGAGTATAAAAAAGCTATTTAATCCATGCTTTGACTAGGCCACTCTATATTTATTTAGTTTTTTTTTTTTTTTTGTCTTTAGTCAGTAAGAGAGAAAAAGACAGAAATGTCTTTCTGAGCTTTTAAAAGTTAGAAATTGATTTATCTATTAGGTCAAATAGCTTTCACCAAAATGATTAAAAAACTTTAAACTGATTTATTGAATATGAAATGAAATGAAATGAATATTGAAGGTATTGAACGCACTCTATGATTTAATAAAAAAATCTAACAATTTAGGTTATTTGTCACCATATTAGGCTTCTTTGTTGATTATTACAGCCCATCATTTCTACTATGATCCTGAATTATTACTCTGCTCCTTTTCTTCTGAAATACCAGCCAAGCTCTTATGCCGACTTCTCTTGAAACTGAAATAAAAATATTCTTCAGAGCTGCCACTGGAGAAAAGAAATAATATCACTGCAAAGAGGAACAAACAGAACGAATCCTGTGTCGTTTTCTCCAGGTTTACAAGCCCATCGTGGCTCCGTGCGATCCCCTTTAAAAAGCACAGAAAGGGAAAAAAAAAAAGATGTCCCACTCTTTCATTCTGAATAAGGAGGCTCCAATAGGTTTCTATCACTGGGATGAAAAACCAAAGCCCAGACACTCTGCGCTCTCAAATAGAGAGCCCTTTTAAATCCTCTGACAATGAGCGGGACAGATAAGGGGAGACACGCACAAACAGGAGGAGAGAAGGATAGAAAGGTGCAAAATGGAGAGGATAACGAACGAGTGCGCCGCCGAGAGAGAGAGGGCCTTAATGATGTCGGTGTGATAAGTCTGAAATGAGGGGGAAATTGAAATGAGTGCCGCGACGATGGTGGTCGGCCAGGAGAGCCAATAGGAGCTGCAGCTTTCATTGGCTTGGCTGGAGGAGAGATGAGAAAGAAATGAGGAAGAGAAGAAGTGTGGGAATTTATAAACAGACCAAATTACTATTAAAAACACACACAGGTTGCGAGGAGGGTGAGGAAGTTTGGAAGTCAATTTCCGCCACTTTAGAGAAAGTAACCGGCTTAAAATTGTGACTTGAAATGATGAGAATCAAAATAGTTTTTATGAGATTTAAAGACTCCTAATTATGAGATCTGATGTCCTAAGGCTGCGTTCACACAGCAGAAAAAATGCGGCCAACATCCGGCTTCTTCACCGCAATCTGACCAGCCCAATTCTGATCTTTTCAACCCACCAAGAAAATCCGATCCGTGCCACTTCCGTATTCAGATACATATCAGGATGTTTTCAAGTCGTCTGCAGTCTGAACGGTCACGCCGCATTTGATCCGACTTTTATGTCGCTGATGTGAGACGGGCGTCATAAATCTGGACCAGAAAAAGCCAGACAGACGCGGTAAATCAGGACGTAAACAACGGCTGAAAATGATGGTGATGAACTTATGAAGAAGTCTGCGTCTCTGGAGAGCATCACATCACAAGCCCACCACTCATAGCTCTGACTACAGACTTCTCCACAGAAGATGCAGTCAATGCTCCACAAAAGCCATTGCTTTTTATTAGCTTCTTTTGATTTCTTTTTATTAGCTTCCATCGTCTTGTTACGATCTTTTGACAATACTGTCAGCTGCAATTGCTGGATATATTTTGAAATCAATCCTATGGATATGTGGTGCCGCCTTGGGAATGTTCACACAGAAGTCCCATGGGGGTTTGGGTTTAATTATTAACTGCAATTTTTATTGGTTTCAATGTTGTCAGTTGGTTTTGAACAAGCCTGTATGGTTGGCATGTCTACATAAATCTAACTGTACATTTAATGCTCGAGTACCTCAAGACAGTTGTTGAGAAATAAACCGAGAAGAAATTACTTCAGAATATTAATTATTTTCAAAAACATGAATATGATTTTTAAAGCCATGATTTTCAAGAATTGACTTCCAAAGTCATCATTTTGAGATGTATCAAATGTGTTTCTACAAGAAAAACATGATTTTCTCATAGTTATTCATCTGGAAGAGCTGAACTTTAACCTGCTGGCTTAATCAATCTGAATCTCACGTATGACTTTAAATCTCATTCATCTAAATTTTAAAATCACCATTTTAATTTTGAAAGTAGAAATTAAGATTAAATGTTATAATTATGAGATCTGAAGTCAAACTCATCCTTACATTTATAATTTCTTATTTATGAGATCCAATCCTAATTTTGACTTATTGTCAAAATTAGGATTGAAATTCTGATTGAGTTTCAAAGCCATAGAATTTCATATTCATGATTATTTGAATACATAATTAGGAGCTCTATTGTCATAATTATGAGTTTCAGATTATATTAATTAGATTCAAGGTGATGACTAAAACATCCAAATTCACGCTTTTGACTTTCAGAATTCTAAATATGAGATCTAAAATCCTACTAACAAGATTGTAATTGACAATAATGAGATCCAAGGTATTTTTCATTAGTTTCAGTCATAAATCTACATCTCAGATTCAGAATTTTGACTTTCCAAGTTATAAATTTTACATAATTGAAATTGATGACTTTGAAACTCATAATTATGCCTCAGGAGAACATAATTAGAATTTAAAACTCTTAATTATGACTTTGTGACTTTGTTAAAGTCGAAATTAGGACTATTTATCTTATAATAAGAACATAATAACGTCGACTCATGACTTACAAAGTAAAACTAATGACATACCAAGTGCCATTCTTAAAGTGGGAAATGGGGCTCTGTATGAGGGAGAGGGAAAAAAGGGAACGGAAAGAAAAACGGAGACCTTCGGGGCGAGACAAAGGGAGAGCAGGAGCCAAGTTCGAGCCAAAGTCAATTGAACAACTAATGTGAATCGATTTGTTGCCTCTGCTTTTGCTCTTTTGGGAGCGAGTGACATTTTAAAGGCATATTTCACTATTGGGAGGAGGCGGAGCTGTTTGCCTGGCAACCGAGCACGCTGACAGCCTGCTGACAGCCGGACAGAGCCCGCTGAATAGGAGAAATACTGCAAATGGCCTGGATGTGCTCGGGAATCCATTGTGTGTCCGGGTGAAGTGTGTGCATATGTGCGTCGGATCACACAAAGTACGGTGGAAGTGTGGAGAAGTGGACATTTAAAAGTCTTGGATGAAGTTCTATGCTCTAAATGCTGCACATGACCTTTTGGCTCCCTGCACATGCACATGTAGATTAGATCCAGGATTGGCTTCCAGATGTTTGCACATTGTGTGTTTGTGCACAGACACGTACGCGAGGGCGAGTCCGGGAATAATTCATGGCAGCAAGCGAGTGAGTGAAATGTTGTGGCCGTCAGCGGCCAGCCTGGAGTTCAGCCAGCGCTGGGCCGGCATTAATAATTGAAAACTTTTTTTTTTTACCGGGGAGGATCTTTGCACCGTCTCCTGCTGGCTGTTCCCGCTAAAGGAGACACTCGGAACAATTACGCGGAAAAAAGTTTGGAAACACACACTGAAGATGGTGGTGCTGTGGAAAGGTCATCACCGAGCAAGACTGGAAAACATCTATAAAAGTTCTCTTTACGACTTTGTTTCCCCATCCTCGTTTGGTTTATTGGGTAATTTAACTCCTTTATTCTGTCTGTGCAACAGATCTAAAGTGTTTAGTCTGGTTTCTCCTCTGCCAATCATTGTTTCTTTTGGTTTTGGATGAAAAAAAGGAGAGAAAGCGACGTCTAAAGTATTTAGACTTACTTTAGGTCTGAAAGCAGGGTGCCAGGATAAATAATTGAATCAGAGAGAAGTCTTAAAGGACCTCATCTCTCAGCAGCCTTTGGTCCAAATCCAGAGAGCCTAGTAATCTACTTTTCATGGTATATGTAATCCTCGGGAAAGTCTTTCAAGCGGCGTGCTGTGGAAAGGAAGTGGATCAAAACAAACAAAACCAACATAGCTGCTGAGCTGCGTGGCCGTGCTCCAACCCAAAGGAGTCGTCCTTAAGCCCAAATGGCTGGCCAAGTATCTCCAGCGGGCCAATCCTTGGTTTATTGGAAACACTGATGACTAGCGAGGGAAATCAGGCCTTAATTGCATCTTACCAGATCTCATCCTCTCACATAATCGTTATGGCGCATAATGGGCTTGGCATGTTTGGTTTTTGATATGAAGCTAATATAACTGGGCAAAAAAAAAAAAAACATATTCATCTTAAAGACATAAATAAACAGCTTTTTTTTATTGCTGCCTTGCTTCTCTGGTTTAGCATGTTTCCAGACATCAATAAGATGATGGAGTCTGACATAATTCTATCTGGAAATAATGTCTGAGCAGTTTTATTTCTTGGTTTTATTGGTTTGCGCTCACACTTCAATATCTGCTGTTTAGGAAATGTTCTCTAGTTAGCCTTCCTGAAAAATTAATTTAATTATTCATTTATTATGAGCCTAGTGTGGAGGTGCATCTCAACAAATTGGAATATCATGTAAAGTTAATTTATTTCAGTAATTCAATTTGAAAAGTAGGCTCATATATTATATTAGATTATGACTCTCTGTGATATATTTCAAGTGTTTATTTCTGTTTGATGATTATGGCTTACAGCTAATGAAAATCAAAAATCAAGTTTCTGAGAAAATTAGAATCTTACCAATAAAAATATTTTTGAAAGGGATCCACATATAGTTGAACATGTTGGCCAAAACATGTTGTAAGCATACTATTAACGCAAACGTTATTGTTTGGGATATGTAAAAACTCCTAAATACTTCAAAAATTGTATATCTTTATCTTTATTTTTCCCCTACAGATGTTCACATTTTTTTCACCTCCGCAATGCATGTTGGGTCATGACACAGGTGAGCTATGATGGACTGGAGCCTTTAAATAAAACATATAAAATATGTCAAGGTTGTGGAGGCTGACGAAAGCAGCCCACAAAACATGCATTTTGGGGAAACTGCCTTAAAGTTTTTACGTGCCGCTGAAACGAACAAATGTAATCGGCTGTTTACCAGATTAGCTAGAGCTAATACTATTAGCAGCAGCTAACGCGAGATAAAAACAAATAGGAAGATAATGAAAGGATGTTTAAACTGACCGTAAGTAAAGCAACTTTTAAGTCTTTGTAACACACCATTCTAATCTGAGAAAAATGTTTAGATAACGATCCTTACCGTAAACAACTTGAGTTATTAACCGTAGCTCTTTGCAGCATACGATGTCCTTTCATTCTGGCGATAAGAAGCTGAAGTTGGCTTCCGGTTTTAACTCCCAATATGGGAACTGGCTATAGGATGATTCCATTAAATTTTTCACTGTCTTGAATATATTTAATGCTCTCTATAATAAAAACTAAAATACTTAGTTACTTAAAGCTTGTTCTAGATCATTCTGCTGAAACTGCACTTAGACGTAGTGTGTCGTTCTGTTTCTCTGCTTTTATTCATTCAGAAGCTAACTTCAGAGTCGAGTTAGCGTTTTCAAGCAGCAGCTACAGTAAACATTAGCCTTTTTGGCCGACTCATTTTCATCCAGCCTGTCATTTCTGCATTTCCTTCAACACATTCTACACATTACTTAAGTGACAATGAGCTCCTAAGAATGAGACCCTTGTTGTAAGACACAATAAAAAAAGTAATTCTCAATTTCGGCTTAAGATAAGTCTAGTTTTCTTGGCATCTTACCAGTGATTTTTGGTAGGGGGAATCGTAGCTGGATACAGGGATTAAGGCTTTTTCTGCAACAACTACACCCCAACTCTCACCTTTTACCACAGGATATAATCGTCCATATGTGGTTCCAAACAAAAACAAAAAAAATCTGGTTATTCCAGCTAAAAATGGCTGAATTAAGCATTGCCTTGGTGATGAGTTCTACCACATTGGGATTTGTGGTGAATCTTTAGGCCCTGGAGAGTAAAAAAAAAAAAAATAGTCCAGATGAACTTGAAATCTGATGATGATGCTTCAAGGGGTTTTCAGCACGTCTTTCTGGAAGGAAACCCTGGGTCAGGATTGCTTTTCCTTACTGGTCTTGGAATGTGTTGAGATCCCCTGGGACGTCCTGGAGAGTGTCCTTGGAGAAAACTGCCTTGGTTTCTCTTTTTGACCTGCTGCTTCTCTGACCCGACCTCAGATAAGAGCTTGAAATCAGATTGATGAATCAAATTCCAGCTCTGTTCTTCACCAGTTGGTTGTTTGTATTTTAAATCTGTCTGCCTACATCATTAAGAGATTTTTGAGTTTTTATTTAAATTCAGAGAAACGTCAGGGAGTCACTGAAGCTTTATCAACTTTGTGGAGCAAAACAATGTCTAGGAAATTCAGTGGTGAATCCACTATGAAAGAAGATCAATTTGTCAGACTTCAGTAATGTACATGAGATTTTTTGTAGGATATTATGATTTACATAAGTTGAAATTTCTCCAAATGTGGAGTTAAGTTTGCTGTCTCTTACCATTCGAAGAGACAGAAACATGATTCCCTCTGGATTTTCTTTTCATATGATCTGACTGTTTATTCAAGGAATAAATAAAGTAAATGGAAAAATAAATTGTCTTCAAATGTCTGAGAAATAACTAAGTAGACATAATTTGTAGAAGCAAATCTTTAGAGATCATAACTTAGTTTCTGTTTGACTTTGAGCCCTTTGTTGCCCACTTTGCTTATAGAGATGTTTCCAGACAGTTGTGTTTATGCACAGCACTTCAATCAAGGTGAAATCAGAACTTTGACTGGGCCATTGAATAATTTTCACTCTTCTCTTTAAGCTGTTCCATTATAGGTTCATTGTGGTGTCTGGGATCATTGGCATGTCGATGACCAACTTTAGCCAAAATTCAGCTTTCAGACAGATGACCTCACATTTGATGCTACAATAATTTGGTTTACAGAGGTCTTTAAGGTCGACTCAATGGATGCAAGATTCCTGAGAGCTGCGGCTGCAAAGCAAGCCCAGATCACCGTACTCTAAGTTTGCCTAAAGGTTGGTAGGTTTTCTTTTGCTTAGTTTCCTCCAAACATGACACTGTACCTTATAGTCAAATAGATATTTATTTGGTTTCATGAATTTCAATTTTATTGTTCTAGGTGTTTTGTTGACCACAACTTTGTTGGGTTTTCCACTGGATAGTTTTGTGCAGGCTAAAGTTTTGGCTCTTTAGCCTGTTAGCTTAAATAGTCTGAGTTGGATCTCTCAGGTTTTTTGCAGTTTCTCAGCCCTTACAAACATTTGAGTAAAATTTCTGGGACATGGACCCCTGGGGAGACTTGCAATTTCCATGAATGTTTTCCATCTGTCTGACTATGGACTATGAACTCCAGAATATTTGTATAATAGTAGTATGAGTCTATTCCAGTTGTGTTGACACAACAAATCATCTTAAAATGTCCCAAGTTAGATTAATGTGTGCTCATAAATGCATGATAATTATTGGCTCAAAAACCCAGAGATAGTATAAAATTCATTGACCGCTCATTCTTTCAGCAATCACGCCCAATTATTGGCTCTATGCTTTATGCTATCTGTCTTGCTTTGGCAGGTGGCTAATGCAAACTGTGCCAAAAATGACTCAGAGCTTAAACTGCATGAAACTGATTACTGATTTATTTGTTATATGGCAGGAGCTAATACAGCAGGTCATTTCAACAAACCAATCATAAGTCAGAAAGAATATTAATCCTTTCTAGATCATATGGCAAATTCGCAATTATGAGTATTCAAATAATTATGTTTTATGGGAACTGTAATTTTGAGAGTTATTCTCATTTACATTTTATGCAACTAAAACATCAATGGCACAATTATATAGTGACACAAACCACCAGGTGTTTCAGTTTTAAGTTATTAACTTAAAATTGATAAAAATTAAAAATGACAAAGTCATCAAAATAAACAGTAACGCTGGATTGACATTTAAACAGTGTATAATTTTTTTAGCAAGTTGTACCTTTCATTTTTGTTTAGTCTTGTAAATGACAATAGTTTTATTCACATTTACTGAATATGAATAGAATAAATGAAAGAAATATCAAAAGAAAGCTACATAGAAGGCAGCTAAAAAAAAACAACTCAAAAGTTGGGCAAGGTTGGAAATGTTACATTTTTAATATCAAACTATGGCGTAACACAGTGTTCACCCAAGACAACATTATTAGTCACAAAATCCACATCTTTCAGTTCATAATGTGAAGGTTTATATGGTAATTTGTTCAGAAAAAGACATGAGAAATATTGAGACATGAGAGCAGCGACCTAAGGCCTTAAAAACAGGAACCAGACCCAAGGATTTAAGAGGGTTCTTTTGTGAGCGGAGCCTGTTTGCAATTCACCACAGCGGTAAAGGATAGCTTTCAATAAAAACGTCAACTCAAAACTTGGAAAGTTTGGCAGGATTCAGAAGAAATGTTTCTCCTGCTCCAGCTCTGACCAGCCTTGTTACTCTGATGTGCATGCAGACATGTGTTATCCCGTTCCAGCCAACATCTGTATCACCAGAATACTGTGCTTTATATCAGCAAGCCATGGAGCGACTATGCAAGCCTCACTTCGTTCCACAGAACCGGTCCATGACTTTACTCAGAAGGTCGTTAATTGTCCAAAAGTTGCTTGTCAAACTGGTATTCAGGGGACACCGTCTGTCACACTTCATACGCCATTAAGTCTGTTGACAGTTTTCTCACGACAGCTTGTATCTTGGCCTTAATTGTAGCGAAACATGTGGCAGATTTAGGCAAAGTTAAAGTACTGGTACATAGTTAAAATTTAATGTGGCTAAACGTGTACGACGGGCATTTGAAGAGTTGACACGATTAGCAGAGATCAGCCAACATTTTCTACTGGCAGAGGAAACAAAAACTAAAAACAGCTCAAGATAACAAAGGATTTGACATATTTCAGCTAGAAAAAGTATTTTATTAACAATTAAACAGTCCTATTTGCACCAAGACTTAATCAGATCCTCGGCATCGTCCTTATATTGTCCTCATTTCCTACTTTTAAGAAGTGGCATCAAGTGCTTTTTTTTTTGTTGTTGCCATCAAGTGCTTTTGAAGTGATTTATCTGCTATGGAAAACTACAGAAAGGTAGAGTACAATTTGTTCCTGCTTTATATTTTTAATATTTTATCCCTCTAAAATTTGACGATATTTTCCCTTCAATTCTCTGAAGAGATTCGTTTTTTTCATTTGTTCTGCACACAAATGTAAAACTGTAGATCAACTTCTTATTTGGCTGCAGATTCTAAAGCTATTTAACTTTTTGTCTAAAGCTATCCAGGCAGTAAAGAGCCTGTGTGTGTCAGTACCAAGAAGGAACACGTGATGAACCAGTGAGCCGGAGTTTTGTACTGAGGTTCAGGAAACAATCTGTCGAACATGACCTCAGGGGGGTTCAGCAGAAAAAACGTTGGACGTTGCAGTTCTTACCAAATATGCTTCTGTATCTGGAAGATAAAATATAGAAAAGGCTTAGACGGAGAGCAGAAATTTGCCTTCATTTTCTCTGTTTTTATGCAGTCAACACAAGGCCTGATTAAGCTGTTACAGCTTTATAGTCAGTAACAGTTTTGGACATTACAAACTAAGTGAGGTGGACGGTTTCAAGGTTTAGTCATTAAACTAAAAGTCGGCCCTCGTTTGACCCTTGCTGGGTGTTCGCTTCAGGCTCGACACGGAACCATCGCCGCTGTCACGGAGAAGACGTGTTTCCGCTCTTGGCTCAGCAGGTCACAAGCCTTGAACTGAGCAAATGTGTTTACATTTCTATACAGCCCGCGTCGACTGTCTTAAAGAGAATGTTTGCTTTATTTTTCTTTCCCATGCTGCCCACACTGTTTTTAGCAATGTTGATCGGAAACTAGATGGTCAAAACCACCTCTGTTTCTGTCTCACACATTGAAAGTTGAAGGGGCATAGTGCAAATGATGGAATGTCGTCTTTCATCTCACTCAGTGTTGTTCAAATCTTCTGTAATAAGGGCCAAATCATCATCAGGGTGAAAGAACTTGCAGGCCAAAAATGTTGTTTTAAATCAAATATAATGTTGTCCTGAAAGACATAAAAAAAAAAACAAGTATCCATTACACTGATGTGCATCCTAGGGCTGCACAAGAACATTTGGAGGGCTGCAAATGTTCCCCAAGCCACACTTTGACACATTAACCAACCTGCTTTGACATCAGAGCTAAAAGAAAGTATTTAGTCTAGTTGAATTGATTTTAATTATGTACAGTGCGCCAAAGCAATTTATTATATATAAGCATCTCAGATAGGTTACTTTCTGTCCAGTTATATATAATCTGAGTTGGTTCATTTTATCCCCATGCTATTCCATACAACTCAGTTGACATTTGATTAAAGATTACCAATAAGCAAAAACTCGCCAGTGTAATCAAAACCTTAAGATTTAATAAAAAAATAAAAAATAATAAAAACGTGGCTCTTGTACTGCCTCATTCTGACCAAAACTGAGCCCATTTTGGAGAGAAATGTGGTGACTAACGGCTCAATTAACTGGCAAGCAACGTACATATAGAGTATGTACGTTGTAGTATTTCTAATTGTTGTTAAAAAATTAAAAAAGATTCTGATCCTGTTTCTAGACATTCTGATCAACTCTGAAGATAAAGTACAGCCACATATATTTTATTACATTTTTCATTGTATAAATTAGTGCAACCTTATTTTTGTAGGAAACAAAAATGTTGGATTTTTTAGCAGTGCAAAAACACAAAATCTTACCATGTATCTGTGATCTAGTTTCTAGTGTAAATATCTCAGCACACTTGAAATAAGACAAAGCTAACTTACAGATATCTGTTAAGTAAGACGTAAGAGCTAGTTTTAGGTAAATAATTCCTTTAATATTAATTTAAAAAGTACTTGTTCCACTGGCACAGTAACCCAATTATAATAATTGGAAAAATGTTTTGCTGTAAGTGAAATAATCTGCCAATAAACTAGTACTTTTTCATCAATATTTAGGAATTGTTACCTTAAAACAAGCTTCCGTGGTTTCTTGGAAAGTTGATTGTAAGTTAGTTTTGTCTTATTTGAAGTGCACTAAGATATTTGCATCAGAATATGGACCAAAAATACTTATTCAAAGAAAAAGGGTTCAATTTTTCTGATGCTGGATTGTAAAAAAGAACAATAATTTTTTTAAGCGAAACTGAATCATTGTCAATGTAAGTGCTAAAGTAACAAGCTTGTACTCAAATTTGCGGCTCAAATGTGAATTGACTCAGTTAATGAAGCGTTCCTGCAGGTTGAAATAACAGTAAAGCACCAAAAAAATACAGTTTCCTTTACTTTAAATGTTACCTTGTTGGCTGTTCCACTTGACCTGCTGTTAAGGCCTTTGAGGTGAAATGTAGGACATGTAATTAGGGCCAAAGTGACTGGCAGTAATGGACGCATCAATAAACCACACTAACATTGTACTGACACCAACATCAGGGCTCCATGTAATGACTGTCGATGTTTCTGGAATGTATCTGTTCAATAAAAGGCTCAGACGTTTGTCAAATGTGGATCTCGGGGAAAGAAAAAGAACTCCAACAGATATGCAAACATGCCGGTGTTCAGGAGAATATGATTTAAAAAAAAAAAAAAGAAAGCTGAAAATGAATCCCTACCATTTGCAAACACACACATATGTAAAACTAAAACCCCACCCACATCCATTACCCGCCGCCCAAGCCTCCCTCCCCCCGTTCTCGTGGGTGTCGGAGTGAGAAATTAAATTTTTCTGATGAGAAACTTTTTCCTGCCCCCACTCCTCTCCTCCCATTTTCTCCTCCCATCAGTTTTTTTTAATTTATTTATTTGCTTATTTATGAACTATTAATATATGCAGTCTGAGAGAAACAGCTGTGCAGTGAAGTGTTCAGGTTGCTGCCGCGCTCACAATAGATGATCATCACGGACAGACTGATATGAGTAGCAGAGAGGCAGGGGAGGTGATGCATATCAATTGGCACTGAAATAACTGTCCATCAGGTCTGTGACAGAGACAATAAACTTCAATTTGGCGTTAATTGTTACTTTCAGTCCTGAGCGCGGTCTGAGAACAAGAGGTGTGAGGAGTATTTAGTGTGAGGAATATTAAGTAAATTAACTGCTTCTTCTTCATGGATCTGTTCAGTTCTGCCGACAGTTCTCTCACTAACGCCACTCACAGCGGAGGAGTGAAACGGAAACCAGTCTGCCAACATTTGGGGATTTGGAAAACATTGAAAGTTGAGTTTACTGGGGTTTTAAATTCAAGCTTTCAGACTTTGTTGTTATTTTTCAAAGCAGTCTTGTCATGTTTTCTGAAGCTTTTTATGAGGACTTAGGGAGCTTTGCTTGCTTATTGTCTATCAAGTCCCTGCATCTACCCTTGAAGGCATCACAGAAAATGGGGAAACGTGAGAACAAATAAAAGACAAAAGAATGAGTCAGAACTATTGGAACTGAGAGTCTGAAAGTTAAATCTTTAGGCAAATAGGGGGACAATCCATCGAAGACCTGAAAGCTGCAACATCCTTAAGTTTTTCAGCAACTTTAGCGCAATGCTGTCTCGTTCTATTTGAGTCTATGAGGTTTTACAGAGCGGAGATGAATAGTTTAACAAACTGCCCTGAAAATGAGCGAGAAAGCAGTCAAAGTCCAAAGAAAATGTAAAGATAAACAGAAACCCTGAAAATCTGCTTACTATACTTTAAAACAGTGATCCTCAAATTGTCCTCAATTTGTTACTTTCTCCTACTACTCTCCGGTTATGCCTTATCTTCAGTTGTCGGTGCAATTAACTTTATGCTCTCTCTGTTTCTTTCTCTTCATAGAAGTTACATCTGGCCTGGTGTAGGGGCAGGAATATCTTAAAACATCAAAGTGAGAGCATAACCCCGCCCCCAGGCAATTTCTTGAAACGTTCCACCAAAGTGGGCGGAGCCAAGAAACACTGAGTGTGTGGGGATGATTGGAAGGAGTTAAATGGGCTGAAGTCAGGATCAGAAAATCACTGTTTGCTGCTATGTTTGGTGACTTTACAGACCCCTCTAGCAACTTTTCTCAAAAAAGAAAATAAATAAAAATAGCCACAAATTTAGTGACTTTTTTCGAAACACCAATCACTTTGCAGTAACTATACTGAGTGAGAGCCCCTCCTGCTTCCTAATCACTGCAGTCAGCCTCACACATTCGAGCAATAAGGAGATCCATTGCACTCTGTGTCCACATTGCAGGCGAATCGTACATTGAAAGCTGAGAAACGCCATCGATCATCGATCTCGCTGTCCCAGCTCCTGACTCGCCTTGTGGTCGTGTGACTGAGTGATATGGTTTTATACCCAAACGCACGACTGTGGTGTAGACGTCAACCAGGCTGTATTTGTTGTCACCAATAGGAAAATTTGACTGCAGTAGCCACCTTACAGCCCACAGAGGGCAGTGCTAAGATGATTTTACGCTAAATATTGCAGAATTCAACAAAATTAAATATGAACTATATAAACAAACTGAATTAGAAATACGGGGTTTAATTGCTCATAAGATTCAGTTATTTTCAGTGATTTGAAATTTTCACAACTAAACTAACGAGTAAAAAAAATCAGCATTTTGCAATTAACAGTTACAAACCGATAGATTTTTTTTTTAATTACACATATACTGTTAATATACATAACAGGGCATTTTGCGTTGACTGCTGCCAGATTGTTTTCCTGTTGCAGGAATCTCAGGAACACATGAATAGGTGTCTAAATTCATCACAGTGTTCCGTACAATAGAGAGACCTATAAACACATTCAAATATTTTTGTTTTTGCATTCTCCGGCCAAGTCTTTCACGCCTGTAACACCGTCCGTTCCTTCACAGCCTGTAATCACATTTCACTTAAAGATCCCACGCTCCCACGCAGTCCCAGCAGGCGACATGTTCATCCAGTCAATCATCTGATCTGTAACGCAGTCAGTCAGTCTCTTAGGTGGAGCAGTCCATCAGGCTGTCTGCGTGGGCAGCAGAACCCAACACATGAACCGACTGGTCCTTTTTCGTTTCCTGAAAGAGAGCGGGGAGCAAGAGAGCAGAACCTGATTTAACCCCCGGCAGCCTTATTAGCAGGTTAACTGGCACGAGTAGGCGGGCGATGATTGTGTTTCTGTGTGCGTGGGAGGGAAGAGCTGATGGGCGGAGCTATGGGAGAGTGACAGCGGCGTGGGCGGCGGGCTGTGTCCCTGAGCGCCCCAAGGGAAGGTGACAATGCTGGTTTAGGCACGTGTTACTGGTGTAAAGTGGAGTGTGTGTGTGTCGGGGGGGGTCACTGCAGCTGTCGAGGTGTCTACAAGGTTGTCGGCGAAAACAAAATCTGCTGGTGGGTGGACAGGCTGTTTGTCGAACACTCTGTTTCTATTTGGCTCATACAAGTAAACGAGGCAGGGAGTGGAAATGGCTGTTAGGAATGACTGACCCCTCTGTGACACACTCCAGCGCGAGGTCAGCTTCTGATTTGAAGAACCGCCATCTTTCACTCGGCTTTTAGAGGCTGTGGACGTGACAGAGCCACTGTGCTAGTTTCTAGATTTCTTAATAGTTATTTCTAAAGCCCTTCCATGAGATTTGGTCAAACGTGTTTTTCCTCTGCAGACTTTGATTATTTCATGTGACAGACCAACGTAAAGTGCAAGTAGATTTACGATGACATTTTTTTTTAAAGATGAAAATGCTAAAATATGAGGTATGCATCTGCAGTTCATGGGGGTCAACCATTTTTCATTGCAATTCCAGCTGCAGGACTCCTGTGGTGTGTCTATACCAGCTTTGTACATCTAACCATCACCTGTTTAGTCCATCCATCTTTGAACGAAAGCTCAAGCTGAGTTAGACCTATAATTAGAAAAACATCTGAAAAAGAGTGAACATCACTTTCTGAATGGAACCTGATTTGGATTTGATTGGGCTTTACTTGGACCATTTAAACTGAAAAATGTGCTTTGATCAAATCCTTTCCATTGCATTGCAACTCTGGGTGTGTGTTTACTGTTGCCCTGTTGAACGTCGTCTCTTCCTTCCGCAATCCAGAACCTGACTGTTGAGTTAACTGGGTTCCTCAAGTTGTTCTTAGGTGTGTGTGTGTGTGTGTGTGTGTGTGTGTGGTTGTTTCTCCTGTGTGTCTCTGTGTTGCCCTGTGATGGACTGGCAACCTGTCCAGGGTGGAACCCATCTCTCGTTCAATGATAGCTGGAGATCGGAACCAGACCCCCAATAGCTGGATGGAAAAAAAATTGTACTCAGCCGAAAAAATAAATTGTTGGTCTTGCCCACCCAAAGCAACTTCTTCCACATGTTTGCTATGTCCTTTTTAGGCTAATGGCAAACTGCAAACATGACTTGTTCTGTCCTTTATAGGCTCTCCCACACTTTAAACCGAAGCCAAACAGATGATGTGCAATCATGTGGTTGCACATACCATGTGGACAATGCGCACAATGACTTTCTGTTCAAGTAATGCAGCAAACTTCGGATCCAACCGCACAACACTTTGTACAGAGCTTTTTGTGACCCGGGCCTGATGTGGAGAAAGGGAGGTCGAAACTTTACTGCGATGCCACGTTACCACATCAATCGGAGCCGATTTCAGACGAACGCTTTGGATGGGAGGAGAGCCTTAAAACTTTCTGTTCCTGAAAGAAAAACACAAAGAGCACACCAGAGATTTTTTTAAGGCAATATGTTGCTTAGGGTTTTATTAAAACCAAAAAAAAAAAAAATGAGATTACTTTAAATGGAAGAAACAAGAGATGACTCAAAACTTTTGCACACCTATATCACAAACGTAGTTTTGAATAGCTGTTATCACTTCTTTTTGTTAGAGTAACTTTTAACCCCACATAACTTGTGAGGCTGTTACAGCACCAGCCATCGCTGTATTTATTTAAACATGCACTGCATAAAAAGCTTGTCCTTTCTGCACATTATAAAGCTGCAGGTGGTTGCACTAATGGTTCTTTTGTTCCAGCCGCTCCAATTACTGGACCACATGGGAAAATTTGGATGATAAAATGCTTCCCTTCCTCGCTAATGTCAGCATGCCCTTCAGCACGGCGGTTAACCTAATATTCAGCAGTACGGGGTTTATGGTTGTATGAGTAGTGACATTGTCCAGCATGAGAGTATTTGCGATGATTGACCTACAAGTTAAATATGCTTGTTTCCTTGTGGTCAGTGCCAAAAAGTCTGATTTAGGGGTTATTGATGGTGATACAGCAGCCCATATTGGAGTTATTGGCAGGGATAATGGGGAACATGAACTAATTGATCCTCGTACGCTTCCCAGATGGACCGGGCAGACAAGCAATACCTCATCCTCACAAAAATAACTCAAAAGCTTAAATCCCCCCTCCCCACCCACCTTCTGCATCTCGGAGACGTTAGTCCAGGCTGGAGCTGTCTGTGGTGTGATGATTGACAGCTTGGTCTAAATGAACTGCAGCAGAGCTTGGAGCATGCTGGAGGTTTTTTTTTTCTTGGTGTGTGGAGAGCTGAACGGTTGGGGGAGCTCCCAACGTCAGCTATTGATCTACAGAGTCCCCTTAAGGCAACTAATCAAATGAGGAGGACACTGAGGGGACACATGAGGCACTTGAAAGTTTCTCAAGTTTCACAGGCAGACGCACACACACAATCTGTCAATCTGTTGTTCAGTTTGCCTCTTTGTGTGTGTGTGTGTGCATGCATGCACGTCTCCTAAGAATCCCTCACTATGTCTGGAGCGATCCATCAGCCGCAAAGAGACTGCTGGAGTTCACTTCTGCAGGTCCAGATCCACAGATGGACTTTTCTCTGCCACTGAAGCCCAGAGGGAGTGTTGGTCAGTGGGCACGGCCCCTCAAAGAGGCTGGGAGTCTGGACAGATGCCCTGGAGCTCAGGGGACGATGAAGGGAATAAATTATACACTAATCATTTTTAGGCAAGTAGAGATGTTTATTTTAAATTTGTTTTCAATATCAGTTCGTCTGTATGCGTCCATCTGGCAGATCCATCTATTCACCCATCCATCGACCTTGAGATCCATCATCCCATTGACCAGTTGATCCATCCCTTCATCCACCCATCATAGAGTTTGCAGCAACTTAAGAGAAACAATCCATTTTTTTTTCCAGAGGTGAACTAGATTTATGCAAGTTCTGAAAATTAACCAAGTCTCTAAATGTTGCTAATTACGATAATGCACGGCAGTTCGTTCAGGGTGTATGTACAGAAGAACGGCTGGATTGGGAGTAAAAGAGCAAAACAAAGAGTCAGAAAGAGCCAGAGGGGGGAAAAAAACCGAGGGAGGGAATTATGGACTCTGGGGGTCATGACATTCTCCAGACAATTTCTACTTTCAAAAGAGTCAGTCCCTAATTACTAATGGATGGATAAATGAGCCACTACATCTGCTAAAAGACAGCTCTAGTAAATTCAAAGTAATGGTTCAGTTTCATTTTATTTCTCCAAACCTCTCAGCTAAAGAATAAAAACAAAAAATAGAGATTTGCAATAATCTCCAGATAGAATAGCAAATTGCACCCATTTAGAAAAGACTACCCAGTGTGCTGCAAGATGGCAAAGTGCAGGCCTTACAATACGGCCCAATCACTGCTCCCCCATCTGTTGCCCGGGTTAATCAATGACTATACAGTGGTGGCGAATAGGCTGCTGATTCCATATGCCCGGAAAAGAATAGACAATCATTGACTAATCAGAATTTTTTACAGGAGGCACATAGGATGACGACCAGCTGCTGTGCCCAGTGAGCTAAACTGTAATTACATTACATTATTGATCCTCTGAATCGAAGATCAGAGGTTCCTGTTTTTCCACCGAGAGTGAGAACAGTGATCATTTTAGTGTCATTGGTTTGAGATAATTACAGTCTTTGGCCTGTGTAGCTAGGTTTTTAGAAGAAGTGCGTTATGTCCCATAACCATCATACAACAACCACAGACTTTATGTATTTTATTGGGATTTTACGTAGACCAAACACAAAGGAGGTTATAACTTTGAAGTCGAAAGAAAATAATACATGGATCGCCTTCGTATGTACAAGTAAAAATCAATGATGTGAGGTTAATTTGTTTTCTGAGCCGCTGAGTACGTAGAAGCGCCTGCTGCAATTACGTGTGCAAGTCTTTTGAGCGACACCTGTTTTTTTTTTTTTTTATCCATTCTTATTAAAAAAAAAAAAAGCTCATGAAAGTTGGTAAGAAATAATCTGTGAACATGAATTTTCAAGTATTTCCACAGATTTACAATTAGATTTAAACCATTCTAACACAGAAATTCTTTAAACCATGTGATTGTAGCTCTAGTGGTATGATTGGGGTTGCTGTTCTGCTGAATGGTGAAGCTCTTCTTCAGACTCAAATCCTTTGCAACCTCTAACAGGTTGTCTTCTATAATTATCCGAGTCCAGATTTAAACTCTTCCAGAGCGATGGATGCGTCCGAAAGAGAGGCCGATCAGGTGACGACAGTACAGGATTGAGGGGGCAACGCTATGATCTGGGGTCTCTGCAAATGGTCATGGTCAGATTCAGCAACATTATGAGGTCAGCTGACTTCCTGAATACGCTGAATGACCAGGTTCATTGGTCTCGTATAGTGAACGAGAGATTCAAGGAGCACGAGGCATCGTTTTCACACCAAAGAGCCGGGAGCCCATTGAGAATCTTTATGATGTGATGGAGAAAGCTTTGCTCCATGGATGGAAAATAGTGTTGTGACGCTGGAGAAGATAATCAAACTCGTGACACACAATTTAAATTTATATTTGTGAAAAAAATGCAAAAATCAAGTAGCATTTTCATTCCAGTTTCCAATTACACAACACTTTGTGTTATGTTGAGTAAATCCTTACTTTATAAAAAAAAAAAAAAAAAAGAAGATTAACAACACTTAAAGTTAGCGTCGAACACACACAAAGTTTGCTCTCGGATTTTCGTGCTGCTGCTTCAGGCGGTGGGAGAGCAGTCGCAAACTGTCCGCGCTGCACTGCGGAGATATTGATGTCTTAATACAATAAAAAGCAAAATAAACATTATTATCCTGATCGTTATAATTATCTTCAGCCCAGAGGCTCAAACTGAATTATTCATAGAGCGCCTAATTAAATGGGTAGACCAGGCTGTGTGTGCAGATACGTGCGCTTGGCAGTATGTGAATCTGCCGCCTGTCGTCTTTTGGACAGTAGCATTAAATGAGAGTAAATATTCAATCAGTGCGAGACTCAAAGAGGAAGAGATGATGCTGTGACAGAAACAGACGGGGAGAGGGAGAGCGGATTACGCACGCTTCTCCGTTTGCCCTTCACTGTGGGTCCCTGTCAAAGAGAAGAAAGACAGGCAGCTGTTTAGTGTTGCAGAACCACTGCTTTTTTCTTTTTTTTTTACTGCACGCTTCTTACATTTAACAGCTGGCATAATGGGCAACTAGTCGCTGCACTTCACAGAGCACCTAAGAACATACAGCAAGATACACACACACACACACTATCACACAGAAGACACAAGTGCTTATTACGAAGCAGAGCGTAATAAATCTAACAAAGTCGGTAGCGAAGTCAAGGCTGCAGTAGTTAAGCGATGCCAAGGCTGACAGATATTACTTCTCGCTCACTGTGATCACTGCATCAATGGCTGAACTGAATGGAAGCACTCCTTTTTGCTTTTTGCCACTGATATGAGAATAAACTGTAGATAAACAGTAAAAAATACCCACATTCGTAGGTAAAAAGAAGACGGTTTTTAATCCTGTCATTAAAAGCTTGTCGACGCAACTGCTAGCATAACATAGCGGCCTTGCAGCGTGATATTGCGCATTGGGAGAACCAGGAAAGGCCTGAATGTTCTTTCAATGTTCTCACTCTGAATGTGAGGATTCTTCATCCTATTGACTAAAATACGCATTTTAGGTTTCTATAAATTGCCCTTGTGATGGACCTGCAACCTGACTGTCCGACGGTCCTGCCTGTTTCTTTGAACTGGAGATAATGTTCAGATTTTGTAGCAGCGGAGCCAGACTCCTGAGTTGAATCTGATTGAGAATCTGTGGTTGGAGCTGCATAATACCAGTGGAAATATGCAAAAAGCCGGTTAGTAATTATAAAAAGAGCTAGGTAGTTGCATTGTCAATAAAGACTTATTCTTATTGAGAAAGATCTAAATTATTTCAGTCACATTGTGTTTCTTATATATTTATAGATAACCCATCTCATTTTCTATGAGAAACAAACTTCTTGGTTGAATAAAAGTAAATTTCAAATCTAAATCTGTCAGGGTTATGAATAACTTTTGACTAATTCATTTAAATCATGTCACTTTAATCACCCAAAAGGTGTGATTGGAGTAACATTTGTATTATCTCATTTATTTCATCAACTCGGGTAAAACATATACAACTATCTAGCTCAATGTCAGGACAGCAGAGACGATAGTTCACAGTAACATGTTTCGGATGACACCATCAGTTGTTGGCAACACTGCTAATCCACCTTGTTTGCTTTTGCCGCTCCTCTTTAAATCTACATCCTAGCCAAACAGCGAGAGACGTTGGAGTCGAGTTTATGACTCTTGTCCGTTATGATCGATGGAAGCGATGGTACTTGCTCTATTTTCTACTTATGTGTTGTTTCGGTTATGGTCGTGTAATTTACAGAGGGATAAATCAAAGTTTTAATCACTGCTAACAACGCACAAACGAGGATTGAGCCGGAGAAGCTGGGACATGCACGTTCCTATTCCGGTCACACACACAGTAACATAACTACAACCACAGGGGTCTGTCTGCACCTATTTTCAACATCCGCCGCAGTGTTTCCTTTCTTTCTCCCTTCATGTTGGCAAACTGTCCACTCTGCGTCTGCTCCAATCATCTATTCCCCCCCCAACATTTGATGAAGAGCCGCGTATGTTCTCTGACCAGCGAAGTGCCGACGTGCCAACAGGCGTAGTCCGCATACTGTGGTAATGTAACGGCCTATTTGCTTTATTATGCATTAGTAGCAGGACTTCTTTTTCATTATGTTCTAATGACATTTGGTAGGGTCCACTAATCAGCCTCATGGGACCCCTGCTGACTCACTGAACCTACTACACAGACACAAACACACACTGCTCATTCTGGTATATTTATGTATTGCTTCCCAGACGAATATGGATTTCAATGCGGGCTGCCGGGGTAAAAACACATTTTTATGCAAATATATACAAAGCAGAATGAAGTATATTTATTGCGAAATGTAAATATTCGCCAAAGAAAAGTTTAGAGTTCCTATAGAGGCTGTGCTTACATTGGACTTGATTCAAATTTAGCACCTTTTACTTAATAACTTTTCCTTGCGAGAAATATGATTCAAATGCCACCGAAGGTTCAGCGTAAGCAGAGCGTCTGAGCAGACCTCGGCAGCCAGACGGGAGAATGTAAAACAGCGAGCGACGAACAAAGAGGAAGAGGAAGAGATTACATAAGACCGACTCTTATGTAGCACATAACAACAATGCACATGATTAATTGATCCCTCT